TTATTTTTCTCCTGGGTCTTTTTCTTTTATGCACACTAGTGCTGTCAAAAGATTTTTTTTAACTCCCTCGTTTTATTGCATCCTCTTACCTCATCAACAATAACTTCATGTCCTCAAGCTTTTTATGGCTACAGGAATAAAAGGTTGTCGTGTTTGAATAAGTCACGAGTCAAATCAGGTGGGAGATACGAGTCCAAGGCCAAGGAGGAAAATCAATGAACCTTTTGGTTTTATGTGACACTTTAAAGCAGCCAACTGTTTCATTCTCAAAACAATACACAGAAATAACTATGTTACAACAACCATTGCTACAATAAACGTTTCAGACAATCACATTTGTGTTGTGCTTTAAAAAGGCAGCTGTCGATATTCAGTCAGGCGTGACTGCACATTTTTTTCCTGCTGAAAGCAGGAGTAGGAGGGAAGTAGAGAATCAGGTCTTTGTGGGCACAGTAAGGCTTGAGGAGAGTTACAGATTGACCAATATTTGAAGCACAGTCCGGCTCTGTTTACCTCAAAGTAAAAGCCAAATTTATTGATAAAGCACAATTAAAAACAACAGGTTATTACCAAGGTGCTGAACAATAAAAGACAAAGGCAGAGATAAAATAAATAATAAAACAAATTAATGTAAAAGCATCAGAAGAAAAGAACACAGAACAATTAAACACTGAAACAACTCACACCAGGCTAAAAGTCAGAACAGACGTGTTTTTAAAAGAGATTTTAAACAGGAAGTGAAGAGGCCTGTCTAATGTTGGGGGGCAGATTGCTCTCAAGTTTAGGAGCCTCGGCTGAAGAAAAAAAAACAGATTTCCTGTGAGCTTCAACCTGGTTTTCGGGACAACCACAAGCAGCTGATCCGATGATCTCAGTGCCCGAGAAGGAACATTGAAGTAGGTCGGAGAGATATGAGGGTGCACGGCCATTCAAGCACTTATAGGTTAAGATGAGAATTTTAAAATCTATTCTGTGACTTACAAGGAGCTAGTGAAGGGAAGACAAAACCAGTGAAATATGCTCAAACCTACAAATTTCTGTTCAGAGCCAAGCTGCAGCATTTTGGATGAGCTGGAGACGTGAAAGGGAGACTTGACTGACCCCAACATTAAGTGCATTAAGTCAGGTTGTAATGAAGGTATGGACTATTTTCTTCAGATCAGTTCTGGTCAACACTGTCTCAATCTTAGCTATATGCCTTAACTGGAAGAGACTTTTCTGCAAAACAGAGTTAATTAAACTTAAAACCAGATTCTAAAATCATCCCCAAGAGACAGCAGTGGAGCTTGGCCTAAACACAATAACTTTAGTTTTCGTATCGTTAAAACTTAAAAAAAAATAATTTGATGCCATCTAAGCCTTACTGTCATCAATACATTTTAACAGACAGTGGATAGAGCAAGAACTATCATTAGGTTTTAAGGGTTGATAAATCTGACATTCATCAGCATAACAATAAACAGAAGACCATGTTTCCTCAGAATAGATCCCGGAGGAAGTAAATATAATGAAAACAAAAGTAGCCCAAGAATTGAGCCTTGCAGAACTCTGCAGGAAAGAGGTGCTGAAGTGGATTAAAAATTCCCAACATTAACACAAAAGCTTCTGTCACTCAAGTAAGGACCAATCTAATGCTGCTCCTGTAATCTCAACTCGGTGTTCTAACTGTGAAACAAGATTAGAACAGCAAGCTGAAGGCATGCTATTGTACACGTGACAAGACATGACTAGTCAACGCAGCTTCGACTGGAAGGAGACGAAGATGTGTGACAGACTGTGACTTTCATCTTAGCAGTTAGCGGTTTAGCATTAGCTTCCACATTTTTTTTACCTGTTTAACAGTTTAGTGTCAGCAATACACATTTTTTACCGATGCTAACCTTTTGGTTAGCTGCCCACCACTTGCAGGTAAAAGCAGAGGAGAAGAGAGTAGCAGTGGAAGAGTTAAATATCTCACAGCGAGATTGGTGGCACATAATCCATAATCTAAAAGGGACATTCATACGAGTTGATGTCACTGGTGAGAAGTAACAAAAAGAACACAAACACAGTTGTTCTCAAAGTGGCTTCATGTTGGAGTAGCTCTGTTACTTTCATTCTGGGATGTTGTTTTTGAAAACTTTAATTCCTCTTTTCTGGATGTAAATCACTTTTTTGGATGATTATTTCCTCTGGTATCAGGTGCTGTGCAGCTTGAAGGATTTTTACTGATGCGTAACCATGACAACAATGTGGTCTTTACAATTGGGAGCAGCTGATTAACATCTCAAAAATGCAAATAATACCTCAGATACAGCCCCAAATTACAAATAAGTTAAAAAAAAAAAAAAAAAAAAAAAAAAAAAAAAAAAAAAGAGGTGCCGTGGATGCATTCCCATCTACCTAGGTGCTTGAGTACCTGACAACCGAGATCCTGGGGCTGGTGGGAAACATGGCCTGTGACTACAAGAAGCCCAGGATCATCCCCTGACACCTGCAGCTGGCTGTCCGCAATGACGAGAAGCTCAACAAGTTGCTGGGAGGAGAGACCATCAGTCAGGGAGGAGTTCTGCCCAACATTCAGGCGGTCCTGTTGCCCAAGATGACTAAGAAGCTCCCCAAGTCCAAGTAGACAGATCAATATCTGCAACCAGTTTCTTCAGATCTGCTTTAAGACAGAGTGCTACACGAGATTCTTCCTCTCCACAGCCATCAGCATCTATAACAACTATGAAACCAGCATGATGAGCTACATCAACATTTAATTTCCTTTTGGGATTAATAAAGTATTTTTGAATTTGAATTTGGTCATAGCAGACAGCAAGACATGTACACCGACGCCATCTTGAATTCAGCCATACAAAGGTTAAGGCAATAATATGGACGATGGAAGAAGAAGAAAATTTTCATATCTTTTGATGTGCCCCAATAACATCTCTGCTCTTCCTCACTTTATGAGCAGCAATCTTTTTTTTTTAATCTCGTCAGGATTTATGTGTGTGTATATATTCATTTCACTGTGAGCAAAATATCATATAAAGCACTGCAACAGGTTTTAATCAAATGTTCAGAAAGAAAGAAACTAACTTTTGGAGATGGCTGCCATAACCAATAGACCTGAAACACAAAAATGGCTAACACAACCAATCTGTGCAATACTGAAGTAAAATCTGGCATGGTAGTAGCTGACAGTCATTTCCAACACATATTCAGAGCAATAACTTCTCACATGATGTCTTTTTTAAAAACTTTGCCAATAATTCTTGGTGTTTGCCCTGTTTGTCTGTTAGCAAAATATCTCATGAACTAGAGAACAGTTTTTAATTAAACTCCTCTAAATTATCATTTAAATGTATGACTATCTATATATCTATGACTTAAGAGTCAGTCCAATTCAAGATGGCCACAACACCCAAATGACCATAGGAACTACAAAAATGTCTAAAACTCAGCCAGTGTTACAGATATCGACTGGTGATGGTAGTTGAGCATTTTGCCAAGACATACCAATATGTGTCATCTTTGCCTAAACATTTGCCATTAATTGTTAGAACCTATGGCGTTTTTCTGTTAGCAAAATTTCTTATAAAACAAAAACTGCAATTTAGTGAAACCCACAGAAAATAATAATTTGACATACATCTGCAACTCATTAACATTTGAAGTCAACCCCATTCCAGAACAACTTTCGCTAACTAGAAAAATGGCTGTAACTCAGCCAATTTTACAAATAATTTAACTGAACATTGTGTGGTAGTAGCTGGGAGTCATCCTCAACACAGACACTGAGTGCTATCACATCTAGCAAGATCTCACATATTGCACATATTGTCAGTGGCAAGTTTTGACTGAAATGGGTATAACTCCACTCCTTCCCCGCATAAGATGATCTTACATTGTGGTATGACGTCATCAGGAAATGTGCAATCCTTGAAGGAATTTTATTAAATATGCAACCTGAAAGAAGTCAGTAAAATTTATCTTGAAAAATGGGTGATCTCTTTTTGTTCTTTTTTCAAATGTTCTTTATTTTTCCATTGAGGTTAATTCAAACAAAACCTCTTTAAGTCATTTTTTTAACTTGTATTTGCATAATCTACATCTGCAATTATTCATATGAAACCTGCCTCCATTTTAGGTGTTAATGTGTAGAGAGCCATTTCATTCAAAATTAAATAAATAAATAAATAGTGTTATTTAAAAATTAATTAAAATAAAAAATAAAAATCTTGGAGAAAAAAATCTATAAACATTTCTATTTAAATGCTTAATTTCATGGGAACATTTATTTATTTAATGGAATATTTATTTGTAATTTTTAAACAACACTATTTATTAATTTATTTAATTTAGAATGAAATGGCTTTCCGTATTAACGATCCTTCAAAACATAAGAGGTATGAATATTTTTGAAAAAGAACGTAAGAAAAAAACTAAATCAAGTGGAATGTTAATTTTAAATATTTTTGAGAAACTTGCAAAAATATACTTACAAAAATGTCTTATCAAGAACAGAGAAGTGAATAAATGCGGAGGTTAATCACAGCATAGCCACATATATTATGTTCTGTTCCACACATCAAAGTCCTCGTTTTTTCCATTATCAGTGGGAATGTTGGTTTAAAGAACGGTGCATTCCTCAGAATGAATGAGTTTTTTTTGTTTTTACTTCTTGCATCAGACAAAAAGAAAGTTATCTGCCTTCTCAAATGTGCAGACCTCTGTAATTATGAAACTAGTCAAGTCCAAAAGGCGGTGAAGCTGAACAGTCACATTTATCAAAGCATATAAATGTTAGATATCAAATTGGCTTGTGCAGTACGAGGACTGCAGCGCCACCGGTGGTCAGGCTTTGCTTAGTAAAGTGGAAAATCGGAATTTCTACAAAAGCTGCAACTACAAATCTTTTAAAAAAGTTCAACAACATCAGATGTACATACAGTCAAAAGCCTGCTGACTCAAGAGCTCAACCTGGCACTGAGTTGTTCCCAGCAGTGCCGATCGAAGGTCAGCAGACCAGTTCATGGATCCACAACGGGAATCGTGCTGACCTTGTTGTTCCTGCTGATCCGACGTTCAGGCCGCTGCTTGGGCAGTTTGGTCTGAATCAGTTCCTCCGGAGTGTTACCCAGTGGAGGCAGAAGTCTTTTCTTGCTGTTCCTGGTCTCGGGTAACCACTGAGGTGGCAGTTCAAACGGTCCGAACCCAAACTGTGTTGAGTCCTCTGCCTCTATTGGTGTAGCAGGTGTAGCAGGCGCCACCTGTGACGAGGAGGCGTATGCACATGTGTGAATGGGAGAAGCCCGAGGAAGTGAAGAAGGGACTTCTTTGGTAATGACAAGCCCCCCTCCTGACTGCTTTGTTGTTTGCACTTCGCCTCTGAAGCTCCCAAGTCTCGACCCACCCTTCTGGTCCTCTTTGCGGCCTGAGCAGTCCCCTGGCTCACGTGAGGGGATCTCATTCTCTGCATCCTCTTCTTCTTCATCCTCAGGCCTGAAGATCTGCTGCTGGCCGATGTTAAACATCTCTAGAAGCTGGCTCCCTGAACGACCAGCAGTCTCCAGTCCCACCGGCTCCCCGATTACCCCATCACCGCCTAAAGAGGACAGACCCCCGGTGCTTACCACGTTCCGGCGACTGTAACGCCTTTGAATTCTGGACAGCAGCTCCAGGCAGCAGTGCCGTGCTGAGCGGTTAACAGTCAGAAACAGGACGGGGTTAGTGAGGAGGGACACTTTTGGAAGCCAGAGGGCAGTGAGGTATAACGAGGCGGGCAGCTCCTTAGGGTCTGCCAAAATGGTGCGGTAAACCACCAGGGCTCCGTAGGGAGCGCTACAAGCGGAGAAAGCCAGCACAGCAGCCAGAAGGGTAGCGTGGAGCTCCGCTTCTCTTTGAGACACGTACGGGATGGAGATACTGTTCTGAGGAGTCCGCAGCGCCGCAATGATCACCTTCTTTTTCTGGCTAGCACTGAGCGCTCTGCGGATTAGGAGCATGAAGAGAAAGACTAGAGCCAGGGGGAAGATCACCGTGGTGATGTTGTATATCAGAACATAGACCATGTGACCCAGAGAGTGCGCGTGGTCTTCTGAGCAGGAAGAGGTGACGTACAGATCTGTAACGTTGGTCACGGCAAACACAGGTAGGCTAGCCACGACTGCGTGGACCCAGATGTAGATGACCAAATCTCGAGATCGTGCATCAGAGATTTTCCTCTCTAGTGGATACAGCACTGAGTAGTATCTGCAGACAAAAAACACGAGACATTAGCTGGCATGCAGGCCTCTACTAGGAAATAAACTAGAGGTGTACAGTGGCAAAGTTGTGAAACATAAAATCAACTACAATAAGTTTTGGAATCCTGCTCTAAGCTGTGTTCTGCTGCAAAAAAGGCCTTTTGTTTGACTAGAGTCACCTGAATCCAGTCATGCTGATGCAGCCTATAAAAATCTCTCCTAAGAGGATACACAAGACGAATAAACCGAGTGGAATTTTAAAACGAGTGTGCCAACATGCTCACATAAGTAACATAAGCTGAAATACCCAGTTTTTATATGCATGCAGGTAGACTACGTGCATAAGTAGACATTACGTCAGACGTGGGGAACTTAAGGACCGAGGGCCAAAAGTGGCTCTTGGACAATCTCCATCAGGTCCCAATATCCTTATTTAAAAAATAACACAACTTTTTAAATAAAGATCGATTTTTTTAAAATAAGGAAATTTAAATTAAAAAATTACGCAAAGCTTTTTAAAAAACATTTTTTAGTCATTATGTTTCCAGAACTAGACTGAACCTTAAAGATTTAGAAACACAAATATATAAATTTGTTTTGCATAGTTCCGCTAACATGTATAACATGTTGTATAACATGTAAACATGCTGTTGTTGGATGTAACTGGGACCCTGTGTACACAATTTCGTTCCACCACATGTACCACATGAGATGTGAATGACAATAAAGAAACCTTGACCTTGACGTTAAGCTAACGTGTAATATATTGTCACAAGAGCCATTTTACAGAATATGTCTTCTACCGGTATTCCTAAAGGATTTTGGAAAGACTTGTTTTATAAAGCGTGTTAACTATGCTACAATAACCAATAATTGTCAGTCAGGTCATCTGGACAGTTTCGTTTTTGTGGAAAGATGTTTTGCCCTCTATCTGGAGGGCTTCATCAGTCTGAGGAGTCCCAAGTAAACTGTTTTCCCCACTAAGCAGTACAATCCTTTAGTGGACCAACCAGTTTGAACATGCAGGTAGACTACGTGCAAAAAAGACAAAAAAGAAACTGTCCAGATGACCTGACTGACCATTAATGGATTTTGTACCTGGATGATTGAGCATGAACTTTGATGTCTTGAACCACTTTGGCTATGGCTGCCTGCCTGGGAAGAGTCGACGGGGGACAGGACAGCCCCCAGAAACCATCTTATCTCCAGCAAACTGGTTGGTCCACTAAAGGAGTGTACTGATTACTGGGGAAAACAGTTTACTTGGGACTCCTCAGACTGACGAAGCCCTACGGATAGAGGGCGAAATGTCTTTCCACAAAAAGAGAAACCGTCCAGATGACCTGATTGACCAATATTGGATTTTATACCTGGATGATGGAGCATGAACTTTGATATGCTACAATAAGAAAAAGATCGTCTAGATTATCCGTCATAAAAAAATGTGTTTTCCAATTTTCTATGTGGCCCTTTGGTTGCTGTAAATGTCTTGATGTGGCCCTTTGGAAAAAAATGTTGCCCACCTCTGCATTAGATGGTGCTAGAGCACCTACCATTTGCCCTGTGGACCAGGCAAGTGCACTTTTAATTTCTTTTTTTTTTCACAGTACAGTATGTGGCCCATGGTGGCATTTCTAGAATAAAAATTGTACTAATGCCCCAAATTGTGCCTTGTAATTTTCCCTGGCAGGTCCATACACTGCATGAGGTGCTCTTTTTTTTTTTTCACTTGAGCACCTGCCCTCCAAAATATCTGTGCACGTCACTGTAAACATGTCTCCTATTTGGCATCGGCCCGCCACCAAAAGCAAAGCAGGGATCATGACGTTGCTAATATGTTTTCATTTGTCTGTACCATTAGCAAAATAGCTCATGAAATGATGGACAAATTAAAGTACGGTAATCCTTGAGTGGACATCCACACCTAGTTACCTTTAGACGTCAACAACATGATGGTCGTCACAGCTAATAGATCTTAGCAAATACAATAATGGCCACGATTACGATCATTTCTATCCAAAATATGAACTTCAGCTAGTTTTACTGGAAGGGCGAAATATGTAAAATATTCATAAATTTGTTATATTAGTTGCAGATAAATAGTCCACAAGGTGAACTTTCATCCAGCAGCCTTTGAACACATTGTGGTTCTGTTTTAGAGGCTTGAATATACTAATAAGTAAGACTATTAAGACAACACCCTGGTGTCTTGTGCCTACAGACACCGAAGTTTACCAGACGCCCATTGCAATTTGTCATAAAAGGAGGGTTGAGGGGTCGTTAACACAAGTTTCCCGCGGACAACAAGCTGATCATGGCTACTTGATCGGAGGAAACATGAGTAGTCTAGATGAATCTCCCCGTGCCCGGCCTAAGTGGGGCCATTTGCAGTCCTATATGGGTAAGACCTAGAAGGCCAGGGCAGCCTATTTCCCCTTTTGTGACGGAGGGCTGGTGTGAGTCACTCAACAGGAAGCGGGTGGTTCACCAGGACAAACAGTTAATACAATCTGTCACAGCTACAATGTGATTTTTTTAAATTCTGTAACTAGTGGAAAATGGATATCTCTCTAGAAAATTGAAATGTCACACCTGTTTTAAAATCTTTTCGCTGGCTGCCAATTCATTTTAAAATTATTTGACATGTTTTTAAATCTTTAAATGGTCTTGCCCCTCCTTATCTTTCAGAGCTGGTACATTCTGACATACCTGCCCGTTCTCTCAGGTCTGCTATCAGCTGCTCCTGACTGGACCAGAAACCAGGTGTAAGCTCACAGGGGTCCAGGCTTTTGGGGTGGTAGGTCCAAAATTGTGGAACAACATCCTCCTGAGCTGTTTTTAAATCCTTGCTTAAAACCTTGTTATTCTTTGGCTTTTTTTTTTATTTTTTTTTTTTACCTGTTATGTGTTGATTTTTTTTTGGTTTTATTCTTGTTTTTATTCTTTTATTTCTGCTGTTGTAGCATTATTTGTTTATTTGTTTTATTGTATTACCCCACCCCGTACAGCACTTTGTTCCATTGAGGAGTTTTAAAGAGCTTTATAAATAAAATTAAATTGTATTGAAAAATGGATAAGAAAAAACACAAACTTGTCCTTTTTAGGATTACTTAGACAACAAGATAACTGTTTGGAAAAGGCTCATATATTCAGAGTATTCAGTGATAACTAATGCAGTAATTGAAAGAACATGGGTGAGTTTTTAAGGCACTTTCCAAACACCATAAATACACCGATGATATTACAAAAAATACTTTTTTTTTTTTTTTTGCATTTATAGGTAAACATATCCCATAAAGACACTTTGTGTTATTTATCTCGGTTTATCAATTATTCTACTATTTAAGCCTGTAGCAGTGCTATAATATCAGCCCATTTTTCTATCTGCAGCCTTAATTCCCCTCCTAAACCATAAATATTTAATTGTTTTTATAATATTCTGACTTTGGTTGCCATGGAGCCAACAAAATCTTTACCACAGGGGCTGAGAAACAGAATCTGACTGCAATCTCTATTTAAAGAATGAATGAAACCCACTTTTAAATCAGCTGTTTGTCTTACACGTTTGATTAAGTCTGATGAACATCAACGAGGACCCTCATCAGTACGCATACCGTGAGAACCGATCAACAGAGGATGCAATCTCCTCTGTGGTCCACACTGCACTCAACCACCTGGAGCAGAAAAACTCTTACGTCCGTATGCTCTTTGTGGACTTCACATCCGCCTTCAACACCATGATCCCCCAAACCCTGATGGACAAACTATCCACACTAGGACTAAGCCCCTCCATCTGCAACTGGGTACTAGACTTTTTAACAAACAGACCACAGTTAGTGAGGATCCACAACCTCTCCTCCTCCACCATAACCCTCAGCACTGGCTCTCCTCAGGGATGTGTGTTGAGCCCCCTCCTGTTTACTCTGCTCACATATGATTGTGCAGCTACCCATCCAGGCTGTCACATTGTAAAGTTTGCAGATGATACAGCGGTGGTGGGATGCATCACAAACAATGATGAGTCCAGCTACAGGCAGGAGGTGGAACACCTGGAGAGCTGGTGCAGAGAGAATAACCTTCACATCAATGTGAAGAAGACAAAGGAGATGATTGTGGACTTCAGAAGGAACAAAAACACCTACACCCCCCTGAACATAAGAGGATCTGCGGTGGAAGTGGTCTCCAGCTACAAGTACTTGGGTGTACACATGAATGACAACCTCAGCTGGAGCAACAACACCACCAGCCTGATCAAGAAAGCTCATCAGAGACTCTACTTCCTCAGACGGCTGAGGCGAGCTGGTCTGGGAAGCTCAGTCCTCACCTCCTTCTACAGGTGTGCAGTGGAGAGCATCCTGTGCTCGAGCATCAATGTGTGGCATGGAGGCTGCACAGCTGCAGAAAGGAAAGCTTTGCAGAGAGTGGTGAAGGCTGCACAGAAATCTGTTGGAATCAGTCTCCCCACCATCACAGACATCTACACCTCCAGATGCAGGAAGAGGGCCACCTGCATCATGAAGGACCCCACCCACCCAGCACACACACTTTTTGCCCCACTCCCCTCAGGAAGGAGGTT